TAGGGTGTAAAAAAATGAGTGTGACTCTAATAATTGAACTTTAGTTTATGTGTATAGCAAACSTTGGAGCCAACTTTTCATGAAAATATAAAAATATATACACACATACATATATAACAAATCCCTTTAATTTAATTATTGTAGCCAACTAAAAGAGCGCAAATGTTCTGTTTTCTTTTTGTCAAAGAAGAAGGAGCGCATGCGAACTGATCTATATGTATACATGTGTATGTAGTACTTTTATTTTGTTTTTATATTTGTATATTTATGTAATTTATCATTGATGAAAGTTGCGGTGAAACATTTGACGTGACGTGATACGGTTGCGACCCCATACCAAGAAAATGATAACGAAAATCGAAGCACCTAATCAGGTATCTATATACGATAGGCAATGAATGTAAATGAACATAAATCCTTACCGTTATGCCTGTGCGCATTGTATGGTATAATTATGTAAAAGTATTAAACAAAAACAACAACAAAAAAAATAATAAAAAAAAATTTTGTATGAAGTTGTAGGTTATATAAGAACTTTATTATCTCAGTTACATTATTTTTTAATTTTTTATATATAAAAATAGAAATAATTCACTAGTTTTGAAAATTGATCGAATTAAAGTTCAATTGAAAAGAATATATACATATACATGAATAAAAGCATAAAGAAATATGTACGTGGTCTTTCATTAAAAAGGAATCAGAAGTATTTAAGGCAAGACAGAACCGGGAAACTCAAGAATAACTGAAGAAACTGTAGTTATAGGATTACTTAAGATCGCATCCCACTTAAGTGTCTTGACGGTAGTTTGAAGTTATTGTCAGCAGTAAGGCTGAATGGAACGATTTCGCTCTAGAGCTACTGCTTAGCKACAGTACAATCAAGTGGTACACCGACGGCTCGAAAACGTCGGAAGGAATTAGAGTAGGCGTCGCAGGACCACGTACCAAACTCTCCATACCCCTGAGTAGTATTCCGAGCGTATACCATGCAAAGGTCTTTGTTATGAGTCTATGCGTAGAGATGAACCTCCAAATATCTACCGCTGGTTCCCATACCATAAAAGAACTGTTCCGCAAGGATGGAAGGAGTAGGAAGAAGAATTGGCAACAACTCCGAGGCATGCGCCATGCTGAGTTACTAATGGATGGTTACAACCTTAAAAGATTAAAATATGTAATCAATCTGCCAAGGAAGAACTCAGGCTACTTGTCGCCTTCTACACTCAACACTYTAAGGTCGAGAAGCACTTGTATAGCATGGGCCTGCTTCTTAACGAACTGCTGGTGTTGCGACTTGGAGTCTGAAACTCTAGAACACCCGCTAATTGACTGCACAGCACTTTGTATACGTAGGATAAAGGCACTTGAATCCATGTTTCCAAAAAGCGATCAGATCGCCTCAATAGCACTTAGTAGTATATTGGATTTTATCAATTTGCTGGGGCTAGGTGAGWGKTTGTGACCTTAGGCCGCTTTGTAATCCTCATTTACTTATCTAATCTAATCTAAGTGTTTTGAATGCTGAAGATGCGATATACACGCTGAAAGCGAAAGCGCTCAGGAGAACGCCCATTACTCCTGTCGAAGTACGCATTACTCTGAAAAATTAAATAAATTATTATTTACTTAATGTATGGGATCAAACAGGTGTTGGTCCTTGAATTATTTAGGAGAAGCGTATCAAATGCATATCGATTGGCTTCACTTGTTGCATTTATTTTATGGTGTGAGTATTACAAGTAGAGCTTGCTTTGTTTTGTAACAAGGTAAACATAAATACCTACATGGGTGCATATGCACCTGAAAAGCACCCAAAATAAACGCGGGTATTTTACAAGCTCTGAATTTCAGTGTTTGTCTAAATCTTGAATTCGCTTCTCTCACTCTCTCTCTCTTGGTTTCATGGTTAAAATAATTTTATCTTAATTCTATAATATCTTCTAGAATAATACCCTAAATTCTCAAGTTAATGCGAGTAATAAATAAATAAAAAAAATATTGGAAATGTGGTGTTTTTTGCTCAGCGAAACCCATGTAACTCCTTAACCATGACAACCCATATAAAAAGAAAAGTCAATTCTTATGATC